TGCACCTTTAAAATGCTTTAAAATTGTCACACATGACAGGACATAGCTGTAATCCCAGTTCTTAGAAAGCTAAAGTAGGAGGATCACAAGTTCAAGGCCAACCTGGGCTACAGTTCAGGTTAAGACTAGCTTGGGTCACATGGGGACTGTCTGAGGATTACTATTGCTGTGATAAAACTAAGCAACGTGTGAAGGACAGGGGCTTTGACTCACACCTCCGCACCACTCTTCATTACTAAAGAGTCAGGGCAGGAACATGGGAGGCAGAGACGGATGCTGAGGCCACGGAGGGGTGCTGCTTTCTTGTTTGCTCTTCACGGCTTGCTCGGCCTTTTTTTTTTTTTTTTTTTAAATAGAATACAGGACACTAGCCCAGGAATGGCACCACCCACCATGTGCTAAACCTTTCCCCATCAATCACTAATTAAGAAAATGCTCTAAATGGCTGGCCTCCAGCCAGATCTTACGGAGATCTTCTTCTCAACCAAGATTCCTTCCACTCTGACGACTATAACCTGTGTCAAGCTAATGTGAAACCAGCCAGCACAGGGTCCTTATATTAGAGACAAAACAAACAAATTTTACAGAAGCTACAGCTCAGTTGGTAGAGTGCTCGCTCAGTGTGCAAGAAGCCCACATAAACCGATCCCATGGAACTGGAGTTACAGATGCTGTGAGCTGCCATGTGGTTGCTGGGAATCGAACTCTCTGCAAGAGCAGCCAGTGCTCTTCACAGCCCAGCTGTCTCAGCAGCTCTCCCATGTCTTCCCTTTAAATAACACTGATGTCTGATCCCAGTCCTCTGATTAGGACGTGCTCAGTCTGGGTGGTGTGGCTCAGGCTGGCCTTACTCATACTCAGCTATGTAGCGGAGAATGATTTTGAACTTCTTGGCTTGAATTATTTTAAAATATGTGTGTGTGTGCCTGTGCGCTCACATGATGCAGGGCTGAGGCTGATTCTGTGGAGTTGGTTTTCTCCTCCCACCTTTATGTGGGTTCCAGGGATCAAACCGAGATTACTAGACTCTTGGCAAATGGCCTTACCCACTGAGCCATCTGGCCAGCCAACCCTGAATTTCTGATCTTCCTGCTTCTACTTTCTACTTCCCAAGTGCCTGCACCATCATGCTTGCTGTTGTTTTGTTTTTGTTTGATATAGGGTCTCACTATGTGGCCCTTGGCTAGCATGGAAGTCACTGTGTAGACCAGGCTGGCCTCCAACTCAAAATGATGCCTCTGTCCCTCTGCCCCTCTGCCCCTCTGCCCCCTCGCTGCCCCGCCCCTCGGCCCCCTCTCTGCCCCGCTCTCTGCCCCCTCTCTCTCTCTGCCCCTCTCTCTGCCCTTCTCTCTGCCCCCCTCTCTCTCTCTCTGCCCTTCTCTCTGCCCTTCTCTCTGCCCTTTTCTCTGCTCCTCTCTCTGCCCCTTTCTCTGCCCCTCTCTCTGCCCCTCTCTCTGCCCCTCTCTCTGCCCCTCTCTCTGCCTCTCTCTGCCTTTCTGACTCTGCCTCTGCCTCTGCCCCTGCTTCCTGAGTGCTGGCATTAAAGGTGTGCACTGCTGTACCTGGCTGGTCTGGGTTGTTTTTCATGTGATACTTGGGGAGCAAACACAGGCTTCCTGCATTGAAGGCAAGCACTCTACCGTCTGAACTATATACCCTCAGCCTCATCTTGGCTTTCAGCTCTTTCTAGACGGTCCTTCTGGGATGGCTTCTTCCCATGCTTGGAGGTTTGTGCTGGAAGCCTGGACTCTACCTGGTGGCTAGCCCTGGACTCTACCTGGTGGCTAG